AATAGTCTGTTGCCCACAAGTACGCGGAGACGCTTTTCGACTTCATTGAGACTGTAAAGTGTGGACTTGGCAGCTCCTGCCAAAAAAAAAAAAAATATGGCTGCAGTACTCCATTTTAAGCCTGATCTGGCTCTTGTAGAGTTAGACGATAGCAGGGAGTCAGGTATTGACTACAGCGGCACAGGGAACCGATCATTTTTTCTTTAGCGTTGGACGGATTCCCTTTGGGGTCTGGGTTGGGTTTGAGGCCTAATAGTTACTCAAGGCACGGGGCCTTCTTAAGATGACACCCATTCATCGTGTTTGGTGATAGTTCTGGGTTCGATCGACGATAATGAAATGTAAATAGCTTAGTTTTTGAGACGTTGAATGTAACCAGTAATCCCTCCCCCACTGAGATGTTAAAACTCGATCAGAGTAGATCAGCTGCCAATCTCTGGTCATCATAAGTTTTGGAGGTGCATGCCCATATTGTCATATCATTGGCATAGATATTCACAAATGATCTGCGTATACTTTTGGGCAGATCATTTATGTAAAGTAAAATGTGGGTTGATACGAGAAGTGAGCCCCCCCCCGCGGTTGGGGACGACTGCATTGGTTGCTAGGTCCCCAGAGGCCCTGATGAGGTAATTTAATTCATCGCCTCTCTTATGCTCAAAACCCACAGCGTATTTTCCTTACACGGAGTTTTGTCTTTCATTTCAACCTGAAGAAGCTGAGCCCAACAGACATCGACGAAATGCGTTGTTTATAATGCTTTTACACTTTGTCTCGTCATCTCCAATTTTGTTTCGGGTACTGTTATACCCCTTCTCTTTCTCTCTCTCCCCCTCACACACACACACACACACACACACACACACACACACATATATATATATATATATATATAGATATATTTTAGAGAGAGAGAGAGAGAGAGAGAGAGGAGAGATTACAGCCAATAAAATTTGATCATATATGCAGATCTGTGTGTGCGCATGTTCCAAAATACACGATGTATAATCACAACCCATATAAGTACACTGTACTTCCTGATTCAACATTAACACAGGCTTGTACTGTTCTGTGGAGAGATGTCTGTGTGTCTTTGCAGATGGTGATGTGTTTGTGGCTCTCTGCCGATGAGCGTGTATCTGCCTGTCACTACGGATTTCCGTATGCACTTCCGCTTTCACTCTACACTTATCCCTTAGACTTTGCAACTGACATGGATTTACACGGAATGTCTGGTGGGTCACTCAGTACGAAATTATATTCCAATCTTTGAGTAGTGTTCTTTCTTTCTTTCTTTCTTTTAATAAATAAAGCTTTTCTTTCTTGCGCTGTCTGAATAGATTTCCCTTCTGTAATTCATGGGATCTTAAAACTCACCACGATTTTCAGGGCTTTGTAAATATTCAAATATTCTGCACTTCTCTTGTTCGATTGCGATTTTGAAAATTGTTTGCATCTTGAAGGTTCGAAGGAGAGTCACGTTTGTCAGCACTGAAAACGAAATCAGCGAGCCGTGTTCGAACTTCGGTAGAGGCAGTTCACTTCAGAATGTTAAGGTTGGGATAACTTCACGGCGCTCTGTGCCACCATCACTGCCACAATCATTTATCTTGGAAACGTGTCTTGTCATTAGGATGTCAAGATAGCTGACAGAGAAAGGTGTTGGTAAAATGGTTACTTGAAAAAGAAAACTATGAACCTACATCCAATCATCAAATATTTTGAAAAAAATGTTTTGTTCATCATATATGATGATAGTATAATGATGAAGTTACCAGTTTCCTTATAAGGAAACATTAGTCATTCATTATCTGACCAGTTAGCATCATACTAGGTTGAAATTTATAAACTCATTCAACATCGGCCATATATGCAGCCTCACATATGGAGGGCCACATCGGCCATATCTGCAGCCTCGCATATGGAGGGTGACATCGGCCATATCTGCAGCCTCGCATATGGAGGGCCACATCGGAAATATCTGCAGCCTCGCATATGGAGGGCAACATCGGACATATCTGCAGCCTCGCATATGGAGGGGCGCTTCGGCCATATCTGCAGCCTCGCATATGGAGGGCCACATCGGCCATATCTGCAGCCTCGCATATGGAGGGCCACATTGGCCATATCTGAAGCCTCGCATATGGAGGGGCGCTTCGGCCATATCTGCAGCCTCGCATATGGAGGGCCACATCGGCCATATCTGCAGCCTCGCATATGGAGGGCCAAATCGGCCATATCTGCAGCCTCGAGTGCAGTACCTGCTTACAGTCTTACATTAATCACAGCTAGTGATAACTAAACTTTAAATACAAAATACTTACAATACAAGGTAGTGCAATTTAATCCTTTTTATGTTGTCCTGATGACATATGTGGAACCAAACATCGCCATAATCTTTGTGGCAAACTTTCTGAAGTTTTTAAATGTCTGAGGAAGATATGAAAAAAACCCGGGTACCCCTACTTCTAGGTAAGATCAATAAAAATTCTCGTCTATAGAAATCTCTGTGAGGGCCACCAAGATGCATGTAAAAGGTCGCATTTTATTCTTCGACTTTTCAACTGTTTGAATGAAGATGGGCAGGAAGTAAGAATTTTGAATCAAATATGAAATTACATCCTCTATACCACAGGTGAACTTCGCGTTATGCGATAAATATTTACCTTGTTACCCTGTTGTGGACGTTGTTCGAGTTGGCGTCAAATCAAAAAAATTGAATCTTGATTTAAAAACCGGTACAGTCTATCCTCTTAAGGGGATTGTCAGAATTCTTTTCTTTTCATGGAATTTTCGTTGAAAAGAAAATGTCAGGATTTCGATTTTCGATTTTTAAGTCAAGTAGACCCTTCTGCAAATTGCAACCAAAGGCAGAGGCTGGTAGAGAACAAATACTGCATAGAACTACAAACGAAAGGAAGTTGAGGAGATCCATGATCACCCACGAACTGAAGAGACAGAGTACAAAGAAGAAGAAGAAGAAGAAGAAGAAAAACATATGAAACGTTCTCGTTTGAAAAATGTGTTCAGCATCATCTTCCTAGACATTTATTTGAGTCTCTGCAAAAGTTAGCTAAACCCAGTATCCTGATATATATATATATATATATATATATATATATATATATATATATATATATATATATATATATAAAAAGATAAAATGCCGATAACTTATTCATCATTTCGCTGGACCAACCTTAATTGTTTTATGACCCTTCGCGCAGAACTCTTCATTGCCAACTCAAGAAAGAAATTCGGATTACCAACACAAAACAGAGAATGTCTCATATCGAGAATATTTAACATTGAAAAAAAAAAAGAAAAAATTAATTATTTTTAATAATATGTGGAAATCTCCACTTTTACCTGAAGAGGGTCACGAGACCAGAAACACGTGTCGTAAAATTATGTAAAAATAAAGCATAATATTTTTTTAAATAAATCCACATTACAACCAAAAACGTTTGCGGCACCTCTCTTCTCTTTTTTTTATATATATATATATATATATATATATATATATATATATATATATATATATATATATATATATATATATATATGATATCCTGAGCATGAACAAGAAATCCTTCCATGCCCTGCTACTTGCTATTTCGTTCTGATCTGAGAAAATTGTTTGACAGAGAAATTTTTCAGCAGCATCTTTTGAGATATAAAAAAAGCCTAGATAGATAGATGACTATTTCTATAGACGATTCTATGCATGCCTATATATATATATATATATATATATATATATATATATATATATATATATATATATATATATATATATATATGTATTTAGGCAGCATTTCTTTTTTTATACAAGTTTCGTTAAAACGACTAAAAAGTCAACACGATTAAGTTCTTATTTGTATTTTTTCTTGTGTTTTTATAAATTTTTTTTTCCAAGTATAAATTATGTAGAATTTTCTACAAAATTTATGAGCAGAAAAGAAAAAGAAAATATAAGGACAAAGGAAAAATTAAATAAAAAAAACATAGCTACAGTTATTTATATATACGAGGTGATTTTGAAAAGGCCTATACCCGAACAAGAAACACTTTTTAAAAAATTTGTTTGATCATTGGCTTAGATTTTCGTGTCGATGAGATTAATTGTGAAGATTTGAATTAAGTGCATTGACAATAAAGAATATTTTAAAAAGTAAATATTTCTATAAACGCTTTTTTCTTCATTAGCTTAATGACTTACTCATGCGTTGGTTTCTATCTATCTATCTATCTATCTATCTATCTTTGTCTCGTTCTCATACATATATTCTCTCTTTGTCACACTCTCACCCACACACTTTCTGTCTCTCTCTCATACGCACACTGTCTTTTTGTTGCTCTCTCTTTCTCTCTTTATATCAGTTGCAAAATATCTATCTATCTATCTATCTATCTATCTATCTATCTATTCTATCTATCTATCTATCTATCTCAGTCTGTTCATTATCTATCTATCTATCTATCTATCATTCTATCTATCTATCTATCTCCCTGTTTTCATCTATCTTCTATTCAAATCTATCTATCTATCTATCTATCTATCTATCTATCTATCTATCTATCCTAGTGTGTTTTTTATCTATCAATTAATATAAATTTGTTCGTCTCTGTGTATCTCTCTGTATAGTTACTCTTGTCATAATTTTTTTTTTTCGAGTGCGCATGCGCGTTTTGTGCTTTTTCTTTCTGTCATATATATATTTTTTATTATTATTCTTTGAGCCGGACACGTTTTCTCTTTCAAGTTCCTTGTTTAAGTTGTCTGCTTTACCTCCTTCGTCTAACAACCGCCATCATCACCTGCCATTATCACTTCCATGACAGCCAACCACAACCACTTGCCGAAAAAAAAAAAAAAAAAAAAAGGAAAAGGAAAGATAAAAAAAAAAGTCAAGTATCCGACTCCATGCAGCACTCAACTTGCAAATCTGCACTAACGCTGCACTCTTGTAGTTAATTAAAATGAACAAGAAAATGAATTAATAGGAGGAGGAGAAGAAGAAGAAGAAGAAGAAAATAATGAAAGAGTCAGTAAGATGAATGCATAGAAAACGATCTTGTATGTTAAAAAGCAACCAAACCGACCAAGAAAGAAAGAGAGGAAGAAAGAAAGAACGAAAAAAGAGGAGAGAAAAGGAATGATAGAAATGAGAAATGAGAAAACAAGAATGAAAAATAAAGAAAATGAAAAACAGTATTAGAAAAGGAATCATGAGAAAAGTGAAAAAAAGGAAGAAAAAAAAACAAACAATGAAGGGGGGAATATTTGAAGAATAAAATAAAAAGAAGGAACTATTTTCGAATGAAACGAATAAAGAAAAGGCTCTGAGGAAAGAAATAAAAGATGTTAGGAAATGGGCCACTCTGAAAGGAAAGTGGCCAGTTTGGGCCGAATGAAAATAAATCTATAAATCTTGAAAGAGAAATAAGGAAAAGGAGAAATAAAGGTGGAGTTAGTACATTTTCATGTGTGGGGTACACGGTCACCCCACCCTTAAACAACGTCTGGATTTCAGACAGCAGCAAAAAAATTGGGCGAGTGCGGAGAGGAAACAACAAAAAAGGTGGGGGTGGAGAATAGTAGAAAGGAAGGGTGGAGAATTTGGAACTGTCCTTTTTTTTTTTCTCTTTTTTGTACTCTTGGCTAAAGCGGCGTATCCGTGTGTGTGTGTGTGTGATAATAATTTGCCAGACCGTCTCGTCATTCGTCCTTTTCCTTTCTACCGTTCACTCCCGTCGTGTTGCCGTCGTCAGACAAAATGCCTGGTTGGTGGTTGCCAAATTAACGGGTCAAGTTGACCTGACATTTCGGGTGGTTTGAACATTTTTTTTTCCAGGGAATCTGATTTTTTTTTTTTTTTTACGGGGAGGTTTGAATAGAATTGGTTTCGGGCTGGGTTTTTGGGCTGGGAAGGCGGGAAAAATAAATAATAAGGCTGCTAAAATCAACACCCATTTATCTGAGTGGGTAAAAATATATTCATGTCTTAGGAAATTGTTTCTATCGATGTAGCCGAATAGTCTGACCCTAGTGGGCATGGGGTGCAAAAAACAAAACAAAACAAAAAGAAAGTAAAAAAAAAAATGAAAAAAAAAAAAAAAAAATGAAAACAAACAAGGCAATTGTCCGCATATAGACAATCTTGAAATCATGTTTCTACCGATGAATAAAGCAGGTAAAGAAAAAAATGAAAAAAAAAAAAAAATGAAAGAACAAAACAAATAAAAGACAAAATACGAATGCGAAAGAAGAAAGAATAAACAAATCGATGAGAGACAACAGAAAAAGATAAAAAGATAGAAAAAAAGAAAAAAGGTTGAAAAAGAAAGAAAGAAAGAAAGAAAGAAAAAGAAAGGAAGAAAGAAAAAGAAAGGAAGAAAGAAAGAAAAAGAAAGAAAGAAAGAAAAAGAAAGAAAGAAAGAAAAAGAAAGGAAGAATAAAGAAAGGAAAGAAAGAAAAAGAAAGAAAAAAAGAAAGAAAAAGAAAGAAAGAAAAAGAAAGAAAGAAAAAGAAAGGAAGAATAAAGAAAGGAAAGAAAGAAAGAAAGGCAGAATAAAGAAAGGAAAGAAAGAAAGTAAGAAAAAAAAGAAAGAAAAAAATCTATAACAGTAGTAACGGCAGAAAGAAACTCTAAAATGAGAGAAAACAAAATCTGTCTCTATTTCTGAGATGAGGTACTGTAACTATTTACATTGTTCGGACTGTTATCCGCATCTTTATTGTTACATTCACGACGTTTCGGCCGTTGTACGCTCCGGCCTTCTTATATTTGTTGGAATTTCGAATCGAACCCTTTATATAGTCCATTAGGGTAGATTGTTCTAATTCCATGCCTTTTGGATATTTCAGTTTTAGTTAATTCGCCTTTATAACTCTTGATAAGTGTTTGTTCTCAGGAATTGAACTCACAACTCACAACTCTCTGGGTCAAGTGACTTTTAGGATCAATCAACGTTTTTACCAACTGGGCCATGTGTCCTTGATCCAAAATAAACTGAAAAAAGAAAAAAAGGAAAGAAAGAAAAAAAGAAAGAAAGAAAAAAAACGAAAGAAAGATTGAAAGAAAAACAATTATGAAAATACAGGAAGACTTGAAAATTCAATTTTGATAACACTGAAAGAGAATATTTTTCAAAGATAGTCGTCCATTATACTGTTAAACATTTGCATAATTTTGAATATTGTCTGCCTTTCAAGTTAGGCAGGAACATTGAGGCAACTGATGAAGGGTTAGTTCTGTCAGGCTGTCTTACCCTAGATACACCATTGCGGTTATGTCTGCACTACATGTGTCCTTATTACCCTAGTATTTTGACGGGACTCGTTACTTGATGCCACAATGGCTTAGTAAAATGTGTACAGACAAGAGAAACGGACTCTTTATTTAATAATGAATCGGCCTTGATAGGTTTGGTTTAGTTTGTTTTGTTTTACGGCATATCAGCACCTCAATGGGTCATTTAATGCCGACAACTTTTTTTTTTCCTGGTAATATTTTTGTTTTGTCAAAAATCTATTTCTGGTAATATTTTTTCCTCAAAATGTATTTAATATTATTTTCAAAAACGTATAGCTGGTAATATTATTTTTTCAAAAACGTATAGCTGAAAATTTATTTCTGGTAATAATTTTTACAAAGTATTTCTGGTATTAAAATCTATTTTTACACTTTTATAATGCTTTTTACCTCAGTTTCGGGGTTAACTATTTACCCATAGCTGGGACCCTAACAGGTGCTACCACACCGGGTCAAGGTGAACCTGGGAATACCAGCAATTAAGAGGTGGTTCCACGCTCCTCAAAACCTTTTGATCAGAGGCCTTGCTCTTGGACGTAGTTTATCGTCTTACCCAGCACGCGGATGTAGTTTATCGTCATACCCAGGACGAGACCCGGATAGATATATTTATGTCATCAATTTATCTGCGGTAAAGTTAAATAAATCCTTTTTTTTTTCATTGTGGATGGCAATATTTTCATATTTATGGAGACATAGTTCCGGTTCTGTAGAATTTGGTCCTCCTAATATTTGATAATATCCGTTTTGATTGTATAATTCTCCAATAGAAATAATAAAATCCTGTTTGGTTGAAAAGAAAATGACCTTTCGATGAAAATGTGATACGGTGTAATCATTTATAAACGATATTTTCTTATTTTGAAGTATGTGTGTTTTTAACAATTGGAGTACAATGGAAGTTTGTGTTTTTTTTTTAAATAAATGCTCTTCCAATACAAGGCGAAAGAGCCACTCAAGGCAGAGTGTTACTGAATGAGGTTGTTTTTGAATGAAAATGTCTTTTCAGCCGAACTTAATGTGCTAAATAAAATTGATTTGTTTTATTTTGCTTTTAAAAAACTAATGAAATGTTTAGTATTCAATATTTTTTCTGATTTTTTTAAAAATTTGTATAACCCCAAAACGTCAAGCTAACATAATACATCATATATTTGTGCATGAGAATATTTTTCAGCAACAGTTACGTTTTCATGTGTAAATTATGAAAATAATTTTTTTTCCTGCATGTGAGAAGAAATTTATTAAAGCTAATATTTTTCATATTTAAACTCATTTTTCGACGGGCAATGTCAGTTACCCCTGCTGGCAGTTTATTAAAAGAAACTAATAAACCGTTGGCCCATTTGCATTGGAAATTGCATTATTCAACAAGTCAGAACATTTAAGTTAAATTGCTTTAACATAAATTGTTCTACGATGTACCGTTTTTGCTGTTATGTTAGCAACCAGAAATCGAACAATTATAGATGATTGCTTTTTGCTTTCTTTCGCAGGTGTCTACAGTGATAAACGGGACCAAGTAGCCCAGATTCGTTTTATTATGGAATTTGACACGGATGGTGATTCGTGGGTCTGCAAAGCATCAGTTGAAGGAATGCCTGAGCCAAAAGTCTACACTTATAAATTTGGAGAGCCGTATTCTTCGACCGACTTAATGGGGAAAAACTTTACGGTATAAAGATGAAAACTTCTTTATTCCAATCATATGTTATTTTTATGAATCCCCCCTTTTTTTTAATCAGATTTATTTGATTGAGCTACAAGTAGCGAATTGAAGTCTACTTTTTAATTGATTTTTTCTTTGCATACATAATCCTTAATCGAAATCAGCTCATTTTAAAAGTGGCCCCAAAAGACGTTCGTAACGAAATTCAAAATCGAGCAAAATTTGCTTTCAAAAGTAATCTAATATGAAAACGAAGGTTTGTAATCAATATTAGATCAGCAAACAAGATTGTTTTTTTTTTTCACGGCTGATCAACCTCATGCAGCCAGAAAATATTTTTAGATCGTAAGAATATTTTCGAGATAATAATGATTTACTGATACAAGTTCTACTAATTAACCCATAGCTGGGGGAAAGAAGAGAGTATTTGCTCATAAGTGAATATAACAAACCCTACTGAAATTCGAACTTGGTTTCGATCTTTAATTCTGAACTGTTACACCATCCGCACATCCAAGCTTACAGTACGTGGTATACCCAAGCGGTCATCCATCTAGTTACTGACTAAGTTCCACGTTGCTTAACTTCAGTGATCGTGCGAGAACTGGTGTTTCAACTTGACGTGGCCGTAGGCCAGTAGCAAACAAGAATAATGTATAAACTTGAAAAAGGTGTACCCCAATGGGGGCGTGGGAGGGTACCAATTACAAACTGACTCCCTACATTATGGTCAGAGTAGGCGAAAAATTTCAATCATATTGAGAGAATGAAACTAAAATCATTTGTAATAAGAGAGCCAGTTCGGGCTCCACGTACAAACGAATTGAGAATTGGGTTTCATTTTAAAGCCCAGCGTTAATAAATTTGGAAATAACTCCCAAAGCAAAAACCAAATTCGCAAGCAGGGAAATTCAAAATTTAGAGTTGCTGAGCTTTCATTAATTATACCCGACTCCGGCATCTCTGATATGGCTAGACAGTTCTCTATTTTCACTCGTTCGAATTATTTGTTTGATGAATCATAATGAATCTTCTTCTATGTGCTGTGTCTATTCAGAACGTTGGCGGTCATGGCTCTCCCCAATTTCCTGTCCTTTGTAGCGCTTAATAAATTGTCTTTTTGTTATTGCTCCTAAATTCTTTTCAGCTATACATTTACTCAAGCTCATTAAATATGTTATGTGTTGTTTTCATCTGTCCTTCTTGCCTTCACATGTCCCATGAGTATCAAATTTTCCAAGCCTTCTTTCCTCATTATGTTCCCTAGAAATGTTAACTTCCTGATGTTAAGTATAAGTTTCCTTTTTGTTCTTATTTTCTCGAAAACTTTGTCGTTGCTTACATGTTCGGACCGTGGTATCTTTCTCAATCGTCCTCAGTTTGGTTGCAATATTGTGATATTACAACAGCCTGCAGTTTTCTTCTGATGTTTGTCGTCGATAGTAACCCATGGAATTTCGAGGCGAACTCTTTATTCCATACATGGGTTAGGTTTTTCTCATTCTACTGTCTATGAAACCTCTTTCAAATCTGACACACTTGAGTATGAGCTACGTGAAGCATCGCTCTCAATGTAGGCCATACTGTAAAGTCCATAGGACTAATGCTTGATGGAGGTCAAACTGACTCGTAGAATATCAACGGAAATGTCTCTTGTACCAGTTCTACGCCAAATTGACTGTGGGTATACGGGCTCTCTCTTATATAGCGACTTCCAAATGTGGCTGGCAAACAGGGCATTATATTTTGTTGGTAAACTATGCCATTCACTATCCATCTATATTTCTGAGATGATGTATCATGATTATTTACATTATTCGGACTGTTATGCCCATCTTCATTGCCATATTTACAACGTTTCGCTCGTTGTACGCTCTGGCCGTCTTCAGGCGAACTTGAAGAGTTGAGTTAAAGGGAAATAACTGGGACACTCGGAAGAGACATGACACGTGGAACTAGAACAATCTACTCAGGTGGACGAAATAAAGTGACCGGTTCAAATTTCCAATCACCTGAAGAAGGCCAGAGCGTACAACGGCCGAAACGTTGTAAATATGTCAATGAAGATGTGGCTAACAATCCGAATAATGTAAATATTATAAATAATCTGCCATTCGCTTTCACATTTTCTTCAATGAACACCCAGTGCCAATTTCGAACTAACAGAAGCAACAGTAGCCTAAACTAGTTGGTTTCTGTCGTTTGAAATGTGTTCTGACACCTTCGGGAATGTTTCCTGGTGAAGTGGCGTCAACACTATCGTTTTGGGTGTTGACAACAGCCATCACAGTGTAAAAAAAATTCTCGTCTGAAGATATTTGCTGCGGCACGCTGCATTTCTCCTGAACAATTTTTGAAAAACTGGATTTTTGTTGAGCTTGTTTGCTAGTGGATAAAAGCGTTGGTTGAGTGATCCAAAATGACTTCATCCAAAGAGTTGTAGGTTCAATACCTGGTCACAGCAGAACACAAACCTGGAGAGGTGATTTAATAAACGGAATTAAGTGAAACTGAAATATCAAGAAAAAGGCATGAGCCGTGGAATTAAAACAATCTACCTCCATAGGGTTAGGTTCGAAATTCTAACGTATTTCATCTGAAGAAGGCCGGAGCATACAACGGTCGAAACGTCGTGAATATGGCATGAATGAGGATAACAGTCCGGACGATATAAATAGTGTAAATAATAAACATCATGGCCTGCTTCGTGGCTGAGGTAGTTGCATATTTTGCCTTGGCGCCAGCGGTCGGTATATGAACTCGGGTAAAAAAACGTTAGGATTTTGAAGTCTGGTCTTAATGTAAGCATTCCTTTATACTTCGAAGACTGTCATAATGCAATCTTCTTCCTGTTTTATTTGTTCCATTATGGCTTCGCTGAGACTAAGTTAAATTTAGTTAATATCTTTTTTTTGTTTCATCCTCTTTTTAAAAATCTGTTCTTTTTTCTTTTCAAATTAAAAACAAGAAAAGAGTGAACGTTTCTTTCTTTCTTTTTTCTTTCTTTCTTTCTTTCTTTCTTTCTTTTTTCTAGTTTTCAATTCTTTCCTTCTTTCTTTTTTTAATTTTTTGTCTCTTTCTTTCTTTTTTTTTAAAACTTTTCTTTGTTTCATTGTTTGCTTTTGTCTTTCTTTTTTCACTGATCTCCTTTACCTTTTGATTCCATTTCTCCATTTTTACTCTTTGTTATATCATTTTTTCCACTTGCCCCTGATAATTTTTGCCACATTTTATTTCTTACGACTTTTGCCTGTTGGTTGATTTTCTGTCGACCATAATTTGAATGAAACTTCGATTTACC